TCTATCATATCTACATTTGAAACTGTGTATGGAGTCAGCCTCCACCACATCACTTCCTAGTGCATTCCATTTATTAACTACTCTGACACTGAAAAAATTCTTTCTAACGTCTCTGTGGCTCATCTGGGTACTAAGTTTCCACCTGTGTCCCCTTGTTCGTGTCCCACCCGTGCTGAAGAGTTTGTCTTTGTCCACCCTGTCAATTCCCCTGAGAATTTTGTAGGTGGTTATCATGTCTCCCCTTACTCTTCTGTTTTCCAGGGATGTGAGGTTCAGCTCCTTTAGCCTTTCCTCGTAGCTCAATCCTCTCAGTTCCGGGACGAGCCTGGTGGCATACCGCTGAATCTTCTCTAACTTCGTCTTGTGTTTAACTAGGTATGGACTCCAGGCTGGAGCTGCATACTCCAGGATTGGTCTTACATAAGTGGTAAACACGGTTCTGAAAGATTCCTTACACAAGTTTCTGAAGGCAGTTCTTATGTTGGCCAGTCTAGCATATGCCGCTGATGATATTCTTTTGATATTCTTCACAAGCACTAATTTTTGCTTCACAGATCTTTAATTTACTTATCTATTTGATGGGAATTGATGCTATTCGTGATTAAACTATCTACGTAAAACTGCTTTTCTTAGCTATGCAGGACAGTCCCAATTTGAAGGTGGTAACTTAGTTGCTGAAACGTGTTAGTTGATTTAGTAGAAGAATGTCGATTTGGCCGTCTACAATACTTTCACAATCTTGATCTCGATGCCCTCAAGGATATGGCTAGCCTAGTAGCGGTGTATTCAAGTTTAAGTATGTTTATTGAGACATGAAAAAATACATCTCGAAGGGATAGAGTAGCTTAGGCTATTTCTACCCCCCCCCCCAGCAGTGTATTATCTGTGCTTAGGGAAAAACCCCAAATTTATTTTCATTTTCAAATTACGTCCATATTCGGCCATACGGACAAACGGCCAAAAGCGACGTTCTTTTTATGAGGACAGGTTGGGTGTCTGTACTAATGGTCGGTGACTTGTACCCGATAAAATCTCTCTACTTCCATCCTCGTCATATAGTACGTGTAGTCGACTGGTGTTGATCTCGTCCAAACTTTTATAATCTGGGCAATTTGGAGGATATTGATCCAGACCACTTCAAAAGGCCATATGTGTCAAACACATTAAAACGGTTTCAACCTCAACAAGCCTTAAACCCGTAGGACAGAAAACAGGAGATACTTTTTCACCCATGAGGCTATATGGCATAGTGATAATTGTTACATTATTATTAGGATTGTTAAATGTATGTTCACACTTAAAGTCTGATAGCGAATATCTCCACCTGAAGAACAGAGGTCTTGTCACTTTGTCAAGTGGAACACGCTTGCGAGAACAAAGGTGCCGCTGCATGGGTGGATTGCTGATGTACAGAACCATGAATATAACACCTAACTGTGTTGAGTTACGTGTTGAGGGAATGTTCTTGATCGCCGAGCCCAGGTTCGAGTAATTGTAGTAATTGTCCTCCACCTTCCTTTATTTTGGTGCAGGTGGAGAAAAGCCGAGTATTGTGTACTCAAGGTCGAGTGGAGCGCTCATTCACGGTTCATTGTAAGTAGATTTGGTTTGAACTATTTCCAAGATCTACAGTTTTGAAACTGCATCCAGTTTTATTTTTAAAGCTCTTGACTGCTTGGGAGGCTGTAAAAAAAAATTATATTTTAGTTCCAGCTGGTTCAAGCTTTATTTCAATGTATATGTATTTCCGGGTTTTCGCTTCTTTTTATGTCCCTGTCATGCTCTGTATGACTTTACTTGATGAAATTTTGTGAGAACTATTAGTGCAGGAACTGCGAAGTCAAGAATGGAATAGCGAAGGTGTATAAATGCCCGAGTACGCTGTATCTAGCGGGCGCTTATCATGTTACCAAACATAACTGCCAGTAAATTAGGTCTGCTGCTGTGTCACTCAAACATATTTACTTTTCTTGTCAACTCACTCTTAGATATTTGTAGCCTATTACCAAGTGCAAAATTTGGAATAGCTAGATGTAGGTTGAGGACGCTCATATATTTTCTCCGGATATTTAAGCAGTAATTCAAGAAAGCTGTGGGGTGTTGTGTGGAGGTGGAGAGCTTGTTGTGTTTCAAGGTCTTCACACGTTATGAGGACGAGGTCATCGCTGTGGCTGATGTGGTTTTCTATTAAGATGTTGAATAGCGTTAACGTACTCTGGTCGCAAGGGCGGGTTATCAGTGACTGTTGCTACTGCTGCTGCTGTTCTTGTTGGTGCTCCTATTGATGCTGTTGCTCCTGCTGCTGTGGTAAATGGTGAAAGATGACTGGTGATGCGTGATGGCAGTTGATGATGATGCGTGATGGCAGTTGATGATGATGCGTGATGGCAGTTGTTGATGATGCGTGGTGGTGGTTGATGATGATGACACTCCTACAATTATTCGCCAGTTCTTCTATTTTCTCTTCTCTGAAAAGTGGAAAGCGGTCCTGGGGGGCTGGGGATAACCTAATCCCCTAGTACCTCACCCCCCCCCCCAGCAAGCCTCGCCGTGCTGGGCGTGTCCACCACCCACACAAGATACTGAGGGGAGGTTATCTTGAGATGGTTATCTTCAGATGATTTCGGGGCTTAGTGTCCCCGCGGCCCGGTCCTCGACCAGGCCTCCACCCCCAGGAAGGCCTGGTCGAGGACTTTAAGGCCAGATTCCACGAGAATTCGAACGTCAGAAAAGTTTAATTATAACACAACAGGTTTAACAAGGCAAGAAGGCGGAGAATAAAAAGCTATAGACCTCTCTTCTCAGTAATCACTGTTAGGTATGCTCCCCATCTCCTCACGACCCTCGCAGAAGCTGCAAAAGGGGGTGCGGGTTCCTCACCCTTTACACAGCTGACCTGCCACACTCATCATGGAGAATACATCCCATATGCGGACAAACTAACTACAGTAATCTGCCAACAAGGAGAGTCAAAGACACTACCCACCATCAGAATCAACACTGAAAAGCAATCGACAATAAACATCAACAAAACTTTCAAATAATATACAATGATAAATGAAATCCAGAACCCATAACCTTTGACATCTGCCCAATCCAGGATACGAATAGAAGCAAAATACTTTGACTCGTGAATATCAAGAGCTAGAATCAAAATTCCCATAATAGAATAAACAATGCAAAAAGTCCGGCCGGATCTCTTAACATTCTCCACCACAAGCTATACAAAACAAGACACTATGAAGAGAAAAGTTACCACAGGGATAACTGGCTTGTGGCGGCCAAGCGTTCATAGCGACGTCGCTTTTTGATCCTTCGATGTCGGCTCTTCCTATCATTGTGAAGCAGAATTCACCAAGCGTTGGATTGTTCACCCACCAATAGGGAACGTGAGCTGGGTTTAGACCGTCGTGAGACAGGTTAGTTTTACCCTACACTGTCCACTTATGGCAATTCAAGAGCTCCATGAATCTCTGAATATCAGACTAAACCAGCAAGATTCTAGTGTGTGGAATATAACAGAAGCGTTAGAAAACTTAATACTACAAAGATTACTTCAAGATGAGAGGCCTCACTCCCACATCCCAAGTACCTGGAGGGCAAACAAGCCCTACAATACACAATTGCAAGATAAAAAAATAATACAAACATGACCCTGCAAATAGGAACAGCAAAACATGTATCTAAGCACTTAAGGGTATGCATATGTGAATACACCATAGCGTTTAATTATGGGTATCCAAACATTAAAATACATTTGAAAAACATTGTGAACACCTTCAGCTTCCTAGCAAGAGACGGCCAGCAAAGCTGAGCTTAGCTAACGCGCACACACACACACACACACAGGGTCCGTCTAATTACCAAAAACTACCACATACTACACACGCTTCAGAAAACTTCCTGGCAATACGTTAGTAATGAATAAATATGATATATTAAGTTAGGCTGACCTAACCTGACCTCACCTAACCTATCCTAACCTAACCTAACCTAACCTAACTTAACCAAACCTAACCTAACCTAACCGAATCTTGGATCGTCGACTTGATTTGGCGTCACCAGCTTTTTATTTTCGTCTAATTTTTTTATAAAAAGATACTTTTTCGGATTAAAATTATGTTTTTTCATGTTGTATGTTCAGCACCAACATTGTAATGAGTAAATATATCATATTTATTCATTACTAACGTATTGCCAGGAAGTTTTCTGAAGCGTGTGTAGTATGTGGTAGTTTTCGGTAATTAGACGGACCGCACACACGGTGCAAGGCGGACAACCCGCCTGCTAATATAACAGTTTGTTATATTTCTATATTTCTAAAACTTTTCCTGCGCCTCCACCTGTCCATCTTGACTTAAATAAAATAAAAATCTCGCCACCCTCACCTCACGTCACCCCAAAATGTCAACCGTCTTCATTCCACCAGAAACACCAACCACAAAGCTATCGTCCGAAAATGAGAGTGCCTGTACCGTCTGTGGGTGGCATGTGCAGAACATGCACCCTTACACCCACCAAAAAACCCGTCACGTTTAAAACTATAAACTTTGTATAGCGTCCTTGAACGTGCCCTTCACCCCTGTCAAATCCAAAGTGCCCTTCACCTCTGTCAAATCCAAAGTGCCCTTCACCCCTATCAAATCCAAAGTGCCCTTCACCTCTGTCAAATCCAACGTGCCCTTCACCCCTGTCAAATCCAAAGTGCCCTTCACCCCTGTCAAATCCAAAGTGCCCTTCACCCCTGTCAAATCCAAAGTGCCCTTCACCCCTATCAAATCCAAAGTGCCCTTCACCTCTGTCAAATCCAACGTGCCCTTCACCTCTGTCAAATTTAATTTGCTTCTCATCCAGAATTAACCGCTTCAAATTCCATGTCTTTGCATATACGTGATTGTGTAAGAACTTTAACCTGCATCGGCATTGTTGGATAAAAAAAGAAAATAGTTTTAACCGACTAAGTCCACCGAGTAGACGAGGACAATAGAGTACCCAATTACCTGCGTGCCGCTCTGGTCCACACCGTCACCCGCTTGCTTGGTCCACCGCCCGCACTCCACCCTCTCTGGAAGAGCGAAGAAACATCAGTCAGAACACATCACCTCGGAGGGGAACTGCACATCATTTCTTAATAATTTGTCGGAGGACATTGCTGATTGAAATGCTCTCGCGCCCAGCACACGCAGGCAACAAATGTCCGCGCACACACACTCACACAAATATAAAATATTTATTCTTCGGATGTACGCAAATTAAAACAATAACAAAAAAAACTGATTCTGGCAGAGATCAGTCTTCTGAGAGTGGCAGCATCACCCCGAGGCCTGAAATAGTTTACTTACACCCACAACACACACATGGCTGTCACACGTCAGGTGTCACTCAACTGTCCTGTCCTGGGTCACGAGTCGCCAAAGCATTAATTTGTCCTCTTACGACACCTGTGCATCTCTCCACAATCATGACGGCTTAGTTTGTATTTATTAAACAGTTTACAGAGTTCCGAAATTTGGCAACGCAAAGTTATATTACTGTTATGGGCAACCTCACAGTGCTGCTTCGCACTTTCATAAACTGTTTAATCAATGTAAAGTAAGCTGCCAAATTTCGTAATTGGACGCATAAGTGCTTAATGCATCTTGAGACACATTTGTCCTACACTTGAGTATTTCCTCGATACTCTTCCCCAATCCTCCCATCCCTCCTTCCTCTTTGTCGACATTTGTTGGCCTTCTTTCCCTTAAGTTTATCAGAGTTTCCTTATCACATGCAAGTTTGAAGACGACGACCTGTGCCGGTTAGCTTTCCCTTCCTGGGTAATTATGGAGCGTAAAATGCCACTTGCTGATCCAGTTGAGCCACATTACACTGTTCATGCTGATGCATAGTATTCACTCCTTCACCAGCCGTTGCCTTACTTCGAGGAACAACGTTTCGGCTTTCATATTGCGGGAGGCCCAACACGCGGAGCCCCGAGGATGAGGCAGAGGGAGACGACTTGTTGCTGCAGGACAAAACTGACACTTCCCTCGTGGCAGGAGCCCGCAGGAACCACCACACCGCTCCCAGCACCACTTGCTCAACACCAACACGCTGCACCTCGTGCTGGCACACCGCCCGCGAATGTTAACTTAGTCCTTCGCCAGGAAGGCAGAGCCAGCCCGCCCGCGGCCACGCTCACCCTTGGTATACACGCGCACACAACGTGGAAAGTGTGTGTTGCCCAGGTTGGGCAGGGCCGGCACTCCACGCACTAATAAGGCTCGCTTCTCTAAGAAAGTTGTGGCAGCTGCATTCTTGGTGGTGTCCATTCATTGGAGGCGTTGAGCGGGTGGCCGGCCTGATGCAGGGGGTACAAGGGACAGTAGAGTCGACGGGTGAGGACCCTGTGTCACTGCCCCCCACGCAGGCAGGAAAGAAGGTAGGCAGGCGAACCTGACTGCAAAGAAGCTAGGCCTAAGAGCTAGAATTCACTTCTTGCTGACAGCAAAACACACAGGCAAATAGAAAACCAGATTTCCAAAAGAGGAAATAGTCGAGAACGAGGGATTTCCTACAGGATGTTTAATGAGAAATTAAACTAGGCGAGAACTCGGTTCACGAGACTATGGGCTGTCACCCAGAAATACACACACAACAGATGGGTTCCTTCTACTGCGTAATTTAGCCAACCTACAACATTTTTTCTACAACTAACAAACGGGTTTCGGTTGTGTGGTGAGCAACCCGGCGAGGGTGGGGGAGCCGGGTGAGTGTGTCGGGAACATATCAACGCCTGCATGTCGTCGCCAGAATGTGTAAACAAGAGCGCTCGTGCATCCCAGCACAACACAATAGTCACGAGGAGAACAGCTGACTTGGTGTAAACAACTGTGTCCCAAGCGAGGTGGACTGCCAAGGTTGACACGCTGACGAAGGTCCCTCCACCCCTGACAGCCTATGGTCCTCCGCCCCTGACAGCCTATGGTCCTCCGCCCCTGACAGCCTATGGTCCCTTCACCCCCTGACAGCCTATGGTCCCTTCACCCCCTGACAACCACCCTAATACACCGTTCTTGCACCACTGCTCTTTCTCATTCTTCTATCAGATAAAGACAAAAATAATCAGTTTCGTGTTATCCTTTGCAGATGATACAAAAATCAGCATGAAAATTTCCTCTGTAGAAAACACTGAAAATTACAAGCCGACATTAATAAAGTCTTTGATTGGGCAACGGAAAATAACGTGATGTTTAATAGTGATATATTTCATGTACTTAGGTATAGCGGAAACGAGCAACTTGAAAGAAATGCAAGATACAGGACACAATCAGACCTACTCATAGATGGAAAACGTGTAACAAATCTGGGAATTATAATGTCTGACAACTGGATATTTGGTGACCATAACCAAGCTAATATAGCGTCAGCCAGGAAAATGAAAGAATGGATTTTTGGAACGTTCAAATCCAGGACTCGCACAACAGTGCTAATACTATTTAAATGACTGGTGCTGTCCCGTCTTGAGCACTGCTCGGTACTCGCTTTCCCTTTCAGAGCAGGAGATGGGTGAAATAGAGGGAATACAGACAATATATTCGGCACACTTAGACACGATATATCACGGTGCAAGTGACAGGATGAACAACCCAGCGGGTTTTCTTCCTATTGGGGAGTGTTGTACATTCTGCTATGGCGGTATGTCCACTCACAAGATGAGTGGCGCTGCCCAATAAACTCGCCCCTCGGGGCAAAATTTAAAAATTTAAATATCACCTAAATTATTGGGATCGTCTCCAAGCTCTCGAAATGTACTCTCTGGAAAGAGACTAGAGGTATCAAATATTCTATACATAGAAGATACTGAAAGAAACAGGGTTTCCTCAAAAGTAATGGCATTAAAAGACCCACACTGAAGAAAGGAGGAGTGCAATATGGTACCATCAACACACGGAGTGAAGGTTGACAGTCACATTACCATGACAATTACACACTAGTCAAATTAATCAATGTCAAATTAATTAGCAAAAATTAAAAAAAATTAAACATTATCTAAAAAGATTTAAATGCTTACAAATAAGCGATATCAGAAAATACACCATATAAGCTGGATGATTCAACTCCACTGCTGCAAAGAGAGGGAAGAATCTGGTGTGAACTATTGTTTTCAAGTTCATTTATGAATACGGGGAGAGACAGCAAGTGTGTGTGTCAAGCACTTCAGGTCCCGACTGTCAAGATCCCGAAGCTCGCAGTCATTTGGAGAAGGTAAGGTAAAGTAATTATCAGGAGAAAGCGTTAAGTCGGAGTCAATCATACGACTATATGACACTTGGAAGGGATGATGATGATAATGATTTGGGATAAGTCGGAGGAATGGTACCCAACCACTTCGGGGATTGAACACCGACCTGCAAGGTGCAGCACCGTCGCTCTACCGTCCAGCCCAAAGGGTTAGATGCCATATTGAAAAAATATGTTATGTACCAAGAAGATTACATTCCTTCACGAGTCTTCACTAATAATTTCTGCTTCAGAAATTATGAAAATATGTCATATAGAAGAATAAAAAGTGGACATAATTACCTCTTCGAGTCCTGCACTCCAAGAGGTCTGCCAAGTCAACTGGTCTTCATCTTCAAGATGGAGAGGACATCTTCAAGAGGAAACTAGTTTCCTCCAAGGAGTGCCGGACCAACCGGGCTGCGGTGGGTATGTGGGCCTGAGGGCCGCTCCAAACAACAGGCTAGTGGACCAAACTCTCACAAGTCAAGCCTGGCCTCGGGCCGGGCTTGGGGAGTAGAACAACTCCCAGAACCCCCATCAAGCAGGTATCACGTTCCTGAACAATATTTTATAATATTCCTTATAGAGGGCGCAAGCATCGACGTATTTGCCACACATTACAGCGGGTGTTGCTCACAGGCCGGCCAACACCGCACAACAGTAGGCTTTCAGTCTGTGGGTTGATTTGAACACAGAACATAATGGATCCCAAACTGTCCTTCAGCTTCTCTGCAGTGCCAAACAACGGCTCTGAATACATATACTGTTCCACTTAACGTTGCTAAACTGATATGTCATTAATCACCCCCGTCGGCTCCAGTTGCCACAGCGGACAGAAAATGGTGAACTAAAATGCCCAAACATAAGATAACCTCACCCCAGCGACCGACCCGCGCAGTGCACAATAGAAAGTTGTTTTCACATATATATACATTAAAACATTGATTGTAATCATGATATATATGTGCTTCAGCCTACAGTTTAGACCTATTGTCTTATGTATGATCCTCTGTCCTGCGTGACAGTGAATAGTAGCATTATCCTCACTTTAATAAGACTATCAAAATTCTCAGATTAGGCAAAATTGTAATTAATTTTGTCAATAAAGATGTTAATAATAATAATAAGTCAACTGTTGGACCCAAAGAAAGTTTACGTTTTCTGTTATTGGATTAGGCTACATAACATACTCAAATTATGGAAACGTACTTAACTAACACTTGTTCGGGGCCTAAATAACAAATCTTTGGCATAATATACTTAGTATCTTAGGCCTAATTTCGGATATATATATGTGTGTGTGTGTTATATTAGACTTAAGAAAGTTAACATTTTTGTGCCCTCAACAAAATACTGTAATAAAGAATGTGAACGTTGTCGGCTGCAACAGTATTATTGAACGGTCAACCAAATAGCCGCTGTAAGTGCTGTCATCTTCAGAGCATGGGCTGGAAAATTTGTTCTTTGTAAACAAACTGTAAATACAAGGATGTAAATACAAGTATACCTATACACTTTACCTATAATATAAAATTATCGAAGCAAAATATATAATTTCTACAGCTTAATGCGACTGGGATCAGCCTGGTTGTAGCCTCGCTGGCAACATGTGAACAAGACAACCAGAGGAGCATAACAGGTTGATCAATCATGCTTGGTAATACAGAGCGAGTGTGACTACCACCAGGGACCTTGTGGTCACAGCTCGTTTAATCCCCCAATTAGGAGCTTAGTGCGGTGTAATCCCCAGCGTGGCCAGGTGGCCGCTCCTCCATTCAAGGCAGGTGAACGCCAGAAATT